ACAAAAGCGATGTTTCCACTGGCCACACTAATATAATACTTAAAACCCAAAAGTATGTTAATGTTGTCCTGTCAGGAAGTCACTCAAGATTCACTCTTCCAAGTGATCATAGCGCTAAAGCCAGCTGGCTTTATTCTATAGAAAATAACGGCCAATAACTCGGCCATATTGGAGAAATTCCCGACAGAAAACCTTCTCGACTCCGATTTATAGAAATTTGAAGATGCTTCCACCAATAAAGCTGTAGGTACTCGATGGAACGTACTAAGGGACAGGTTTTCATAAACATGGCTGCCAATTTCAGCAACCATAGCTGCGACAAAATGGAAAATTCTATCGTCGGTCCCAAAACTTTTTTCCCGGCAGGATGGCTATCGCCAGTTATGATATGGTTTAATGACGCCTCGGAAAAAGCCTCTTTTGCAACATTATATGTACGCACGAAAGAGAATATTCAAGCAGCATTCATCTTACTGGTTGCAAAAAGCAAAGTTGCACCATTGGAAACGATAAGTTTTCCTCACTTAGAACTGTGCAAAGCAGTACTGTTAGCAACTGCCCAAAATCAGCTAGGCTTAGAAGCGTACAACACATTTTTAGGGCCAGACTTTGAAATAGTACTTGCAAAATAACGGAAAACGCAATTAACATATTTAAAAACCAAATCATACTTCAAAGAGCGCAAAGACAAACAATAACAAAAAGAATATTATATAAGAAGAAAATAAGAAATACAATAAATGTGACACCTGAAAGCGACATTTTAAAATTAATGCGAGAAATTTTACCTGAAAAAGGACTAGTAGTAGTTTATTGCCCAGATGACAAATTATTTTTAAAATTTCAAGAGTTATATATAAAATTTTTCGCAAATAATGCTAAACTAAAAATAATGAAATCAAACATAATTTTAAGAGACATAACAGACAAAGGAGAACTTTTAACATTGATCGAAGATAAACACTTGGAAAATAATCACAGAGGAATAAACGAAATAACAGAGGAAATAAGGAAAACACATTATTACCCTAAACTACAAAAGGAAATACAAAAGTACATTAATAACTGCGAAATATGTAATAAGACGAAATTCGACAGAAACCCCATCAAACATAGTTTAAATATTACAGACACTCCCAAGAAATATAATGAAATCGTTCATTTCGATATTTGGTATCCACATAGAGGCGTAATGTACCTCACAAGCATTGATAAATTAACAAAATACGCAACAGCTAAATCATTAAAAGACAGAACTTGGATACCAATTATAAACGCCATAAAAGAAAGAATCCAATATTTAGGCAAACCAAAAACTCTAGTAACAGACAATGAATTGGATACAGTCTTAATAAAACAATTCTTAAAAGATAATAAAATAAACCTACATTTAACAACCACTTATAATAAAACAGGAAATTCAGATGTCGAAAGATTACACTCTACACTAAACGAACACTTAAGGATTTTTAATGCTGATGGAAATAACAATGACAATCTGAAAGAGAAAGTTTTCAAAGCAATAACCGCTTATAATAACACTACACATTCTACGATAAAAAAGAGACCAATTGATCTCATAAATAACCTTCTCCCGGAACAAGAATTGATAAAATTTGCGGAAACTCTACAAAAGCAGAAAGAAGATATAATAAATAGTATTAATAGGAAAGAAAATAGAGTAGACATTCAAGATTTCCAGAATAAATATATAAAGAATTATAGAGTTAGCAAAACACAACCCAAATATAAGAAAATAAAAAATTATAATAGAGAAGGAAACCATTTAATATCAAAAGATAATAAATTCAGGAAAGCTTACAAAAATCAAATTAAACGAAAATTTAAATTTCAGGACCATAATGGCGAAAATCACGATAATTCTAGCAATTATAACGACAATCAACGCNATTTTAATAAATCAATTAATATACTCAAAAGAACCATAGAAAATGATAGAATAGAGATACTAAAAACTTTTGAAAAAATAAACGGATCAAATGAAAAAATTATGAAACACATGCTCTATTTCGATCAAATGTTTAAACTTAAACATTTAGAAAACAAAATTGAACAAATTCAAGATAATATAGCTTCAGCAAGACATAACATATTACATCCTAGCATATTATCAACAAAGGAAATCGAAAGAGAATATTGAATTGACATCTATAAATTAAAACACATAGAGACAGGGCTACTCTCATATAAAGATGACTCACTACTCTTAGCTATAAAAATACCTACAACACATATTAAGGCACAATTAACACTAATAACCCCACTACCTAATAGTCAACATTTTGAAATAATAGGTGAACAAAAATATGCTATTACAATAGGAAGCAAAATAAATAAATACAAAGAAGGGGCACATTTCAAAACTTTAAAAGAATCCGACATATGTTCATCCAAGCAATGCAAATTCGAATATAACAATAAAACAACAATTGAAGAAATCGAAGACGATACAATCTTAATAAAAAATGCATACAAGACGGAAATGAAACAAAATTGCGATAATAGAGAAATTATACTCGAAAGGAACGCGTTAATAAACTTTTATAATTATAAAATTGAGGTAATAAATAAATCTTTCCGAAATACAAAAGTTATAGTAGAAGAAAAATATATTTACCCCGAAAAAGAAAATAACGCATTGCACTTTGAAAGGAAAATTAACTTCTCAGAAATAATATTAACCCAAGAAAATAACGTAAATAAGCTTGAAGAACTAAAAGTTCATAAAAATATAAATAATGGAATAAATATACTAACAATATTGTTATTAATAATAGAAATCCTAGCGATATATATAATATACAAGAAGAAAAATAAGAAAAATGAGACCACAAATGTAAACTTAGAATTATCAATAAAACATGCCTTAAATGATAGACAAAAAACAGAGAGAATAGGTCCATTGCTAGGTCCAAAGCAGACAATAATGTAAGCGAAAAGTAAATTTATTTCTATAATAATCAATAAGTAATTGTACCCATATTTTATAAATTAATTGGAGCATACCAGAGTGAACTTTGAGAAATTTAATTCATTATTCAATGGAGACCATTGAACTTAGGGGCGGAGGAGTCATATTGACATATCCTATTAACTTTAGCCGTCAAATATTTCAGAATCGCTGAGGAATATAATTAACATATGTACATATATTCCTCGCGATAATAAAAATAAACAATAATAGAGTTATCACTCACTCCGGAATGCATGTTTTATTCCATGGAATGTATGTAAACAAATACTCATAGTCATACATTCATAAGCGTATCTTATTTCATAGAATTTAAGAATAAATAAGAAGCTAATAAAGAAAACAGAGTCAGTTCAGAATAAGTACTTAGCAAAGAAGCTTTGAATTTTTTATTTCTGCAACTCCATATCGGTTGAGGTTCCTTTTAGAAAAAGATTTCTGAAGCCTTCAAAGTGTACGATAACACGTACAAACCGAAAACTATATACATTTTTGTACTTCACAACACACAAGCTTGTATTGTCAAAAAAGGCATAACTCTCCTTTGCATAAAAGCCCAGCTCATGGGCATATGTCGGAATCAGTAAAAGAAATACGTTCTTGACCTCCTCAAGTCAAGATACATACAAAAGGCGCGCTTGAATTACCCGAATCAAGGTGTTCAAAGAAACAAAACTTTAACCTCCACAAGTAAAAGTACACAAAACCATCTGACAATCAACAGAAACAATAGGCGACCATGTTGTTCCACTCACGAAAATATATTCTCATTTCATATCCTGATTACATCAAAATCACCACTCAAATATAGTCTTCAATAACCGCAGAACAGGCGGGTCCAGGCTGTATGAAACTCACTCAGGTCTGTCATGTATAAATATTTATAAATTTAAAGTGTAAAATTCTTCCAATTTCGGAGTTTCAGAAAAGGAACAGTGCATGGAAAACCCAGAAGAAAATGCTCCAACGTTTCTACTGCTATTCATGATACCTGGTTCGCCCGTAACTACAAAAAGCGTAAAGAGATAATATGTCGCGCAACAATAGATAGCATTTACATAATATTGAGTCACCCAACACTAGCCAACTTTTTAAAACCCCATTTAAGAATTAAACCTTACACATTCGTTTCGTTCGTTTCCATACGTTTTCACCGGCATCATTTTAGAAGAAATATGGATCGATGATTCCACCGGCCCACAAACCACACCTAACCATTGTTTTTCTAGACGAAATGGCAGCTCTTGAATCTCTTTAGGCTATCCCTTGTCAAAAAGCGGAAATTTCGCTTGTTTACATACAGTTAGGACCAGTAATGGACTTCACCGCTGAACAAAATTTTGCTCGAAAGCATCGGATCTCTTGGAACTTTTCAGGAGCTCATAGAGCGAAGCCATGTCATTTGGGAAAGTCGAGCAGCTTCAATTCTTACACAAGCAGTATTTTGTATGATTTCATACTCACCTCACCCTACTTTCTATTCATAATTACCTTTAATGTAAAAAGCTCTAAGTAAAGTAAACATAAACATTTAAAAAAAATCGTCTGTACTCAAAAACAGTTGAACTCAAATATACTCGTATGCCTTATAATATACTAATAAGAATTGTACACTTTCCTCTCTTGAAAAGAATAATAAAATAAAATACATACATATGTAAAATTATTGTGTTTTCCTAAATTAGTGAAGAAATAGAAACTTTAGCAACAGTTGAATATCAATCAGGCGATGAATACCAAACGTCTAATGCTCTATCATTCTTGACTGTACACCGATTTCAATATTCTCAACTTTAGCGTATTGTATGGTCGCTTCACTTACTATTACAATAATATAACAATTGTTCTTACTATATTTTAGCGAATATTTTAAAAAACTGATTCATTCCATGACATCAGAGTGCGTATAGAAATCGAATATTGGATGCTGAATATAACAATAGAGTCCTGTTTCCGTTCACATATATGCCGGTTAATGCAATGAAAGAAACAATAACTATGGCCTTACCCTCTGTGCTTTACGTTTATCTGCCCTCTGGTTCTGATGATATATTCTGCTAAAGTTTGAAACAATAACTGGTACAGGAAGAGCAATTACAAGTACTCCACTGAGAGAGCAGACTCCTCCAACAATTTTACCAGCTATTGTTTCGGGCACCATGTCACCGTAGCTGAAAGCAAAAAATAACATACTTAATATAGTTTTTTATAACATACACTGGAAATGAGAATATTGAATCGATATTAATATTGAGAATACACAAATTTATAAGGGAGAGTCTATGTACCTAAGCCATGTGGTCATATTATTGTCCTTTTGGGTCCCCTCCCTTTGTTTATGTGTTAAAGGGTCTAAGCTAAGTGCAGGGTACTTTGAAGGGGGTACAGCTGCCAACTGAGCAGCAACTAGCCTCTCTCGTACCAAAGCCGTAAGTGCGCGATGAGGAATTGCATTCTTCCAGAGGTAGCCCTGTTAGACCAACCTCACACTACGGATCTAGACCTGGAAGGTGTCGAACATACCTTTCCCTCTAATCCAGGGTATTATGCGTCGAACATACCTTTCCCCCTAATCCAGTGTGTCATGCGTTTCCATGTCCATTGTATAGCTTGCAGTCACAGGCGTCCCACTGTAATCTAACGGAGCCTCCCGGATACCGGTACACCTCCGGGAGTAACGCCGACTTACTGCAGCATGGGACTCTGCCGTAATACACCGTTTCGATTTCCCTTCATATTTCTCCGCTCAACGAAAGGTCTCGGCTCAGTAGGTGACCAACGAACCAGATGAAATGAGCAATAGCAATCCGTTCAAACGGCTGAAGTAACAAGGGCAAGTGACCCAGGTCGCTGCCAGTAAGAAGCGAGAAACCCCTCCCACAGCCCTCCGATCACAAAGATATTCTGCAACTCTTCCAACTTGGCAATGCAGGATAGCCCAAGTTGGCGAGGTCAAGGAGAAGCGACGCTTTGTGAAGTCATAAGCGATACCTCCCTCCCAGCTCTCGCGGTCTTTGGGATAGTTATAAGCTACGGCTTTTACTCCTTACCGTAAAAGCCCACAAGAAGGGTGAAAACCTAGTTTTGGTAGTAGAGCGGGCTTACTCACCCTACAGCTCTCAAGGAGGCGATCTTCAGTAATTCGGACATTGACTTGAGTGATTTAGGGATGGAACCGTCTCAAGGGCAGAAGAAAAACGTGTGGCACTAACAGGAACCACCAAGAGTGGACCGGGGGGGTTTGGTGACCCAGAGGAGAAAATGCGTGGCGAATCGGATGCTGAAAGCGAAACGCTCTCGTTATCCGAATTCGTCGGATTGAATGCAACTCTACCTTGAAAGATATGCAGTATAGGAAATACAAAAATATTATCTCTTACAGAAGTAAATTTGCTCCGATAGTCACGCTGTAATCAGAGCTCTTCAATGTAACGGTACGACGCCAAAGGTGGCCATAAACTGTAGAAAAACTCTAAACAAAGTACAGTACTGTCGTGGTCTGGGTACATAGACACAGGGAAATCCCAGGCAATTGCATGGCAGACGTACTAGTAAGGGTAGGAACCCTTCTATCTTCGATAAAACACGCTCAGGATGTTGGTTTACCTTTGTCCACGGATAAGTACATGCTTACACTGTTCTTCATCAGAGAAGCTGACTCGCGATGGTTGAACGAGATTACATGTAACGTGGCCAGACAGCTATGCCCAAAGTTGGACTTGAAACAATCTAAATATCTTATCCTTCTAACTAATGGTAAAATAACTGGATACTGTTTAATGGGGCTTCACGGGATTAGGATGGTATTTTACTCCAACGATTTCTGCTGCGGCTGTAGGGAAGAAGAATAGGAAGAGACCATTGATCGCTACCTCTGACACTGTCCAAAATTGACATCCGCGCGAAACAAGTTAATTGAAAAACACTTCTTCGACTAGTTCGCTAAGTTTTTTTCCTTATTTACTGTTTAGAGCAAAGTGTAAGCTTAATAGGACGAAATTCCTGCAGAACGTCGACTTACTTCCGGATAAGGAAAAGAAGAATCCGAAATCACTTCCAACACCTATTATTAATGATCAAAAATTAACTAGAGGCTTCGTTAATACTATTAGATCGTTACACGATGTAACGACTGCGACACAGGACACACTTCTAACTAAAGAAATACTAAAAATGACTACATTACATTTATATACATATTCAAGCTCAGCAACAGCAATATATAGCAACACCTTGTACAAACTCAAGTCCAACATATTTTGGTGGAACGTCAACAACGTACCCATGTAATAACAAAGGTGCAGCCCCAGCAGAACACCATCCTATTTATTTGGGTACATTGTCTGACAAACTATAAAAATTTAATCATTAATCTCAGTTTCTTAAACTAACGAATGTATGCAAATAAAAATAGATGTTTTCAAAACTAAAAAAAAATTGTTCAGATAAATAAATAATAATATAAATATAACAAATAAATAATTATTATCAATTTAAATATAATTTGGTTTTTAAAAAAAATATTGAAATAAAAATATATGATTTACACTAGCTTCGTAATTTATATCCAAAAACAATTTATTTTATGTTTTTTTTATTTTAAAGACTTTAATAGTCGTTATGCAATCATTCTAAAAAGCATCTCTACTTGTTTTCTTCGGTGCTTATATTATATAATGTACTACAAAATTACTTAAATATTTTCCTTCGGTAATTTTATAAATAATTATGAAATTCCGTATTCAAATCCTGTATTTAAAGTTTTAAACATGTCTCATTAAAAAAGATTCAAGCGAGATAGACATAGGAATAAAATCATTCGAGAGAGTGGATAAATATAATATCACACACCTACAGTAGTTTGTTAGTTTTATTCCAATGGTATGTGTTTCAATTAGAAGACTCGTATAACTCTGCAACCCAACTGCGTCTTAGTAGCATCACAGCCATTTCACTTTGTAAACAACTACCTCAAAATCAGAGATGCTCAACAAACGCATCGATATCGTTTCGTTTCGTTAATATTGTTACGATTTTACTAAATCAACCTCGATTATTTTCTAGATCCTTCGGGTACGATCTCTGGATTGTTAAATAAAAAACTCGCCAACTTAATTTGCAGTTTCTTTCGTTATAAAGATTCTATCTAATGTCCTTTATTTTCTCAGTAATTCACAATTCAATTATACTGCACTTTACTATTTATAATCACTAACATCAACTTTCACAATTTACTCTACTTAAATGTAATTCCCAATGTGTTCACTTTACGTCTTCACTGATGTTAACGCCAACGAGTTTACTTTATCACTAACTTCTTGCAGCTGAGTGTCGCCTTTATATAGCAGTCGGCTGCTCGCAGACGAAAGCGTAGAAGCATCGAATTGTTCGCTATGGAAGTTCTTGTTTTATCGTTTCTAGAACGTACTAGTTATCGGCTTCTCTCTTTCATCTGACATTCGCCTCGCATTTTCGCAACAATATGCAATACTAACTCAACGAATAAAAATCGTTTCGTTTCGGCGCCATGTTATTAATTGTTATGAAACCGCAAAAAACTCATCATAAACTTTAATTTCAAAATGGTCTTCTGCTGTAATGTAACAGCACACTTCAATTTTATCGTTTAACATTATCTGTTAACGTTTTAACATTAACGACACCTTTTTGTTTCGGGTTGAAACAAAAAAAATTAGTTTTGATAGCTGCGTTAAAGTTAATATTTCCAAATGCTTCAATCGAATCGATAGAACTTCTTCGATTAACGTGAAATTTATCGTTACAATGGAGCTTTGCTTTAACTACATGCAGTACTAGGTTTCTTTATTGAGCTGCTCTAGGTTACTCTAGTTCAAAAAATTGCGTTTCTTGGAAATATTCTTGCTCTTATGTGCTCTACTTTTTGTTTCATGAGACTACTCTGAGCAGAAAAAGAGCAACTCAGATTACGATTTTCTGCTCTAATATTTTTTGTACAGCAACTTGACGCAAGCAATAAAATTTTTTTGACAGAACCGGTTAGAAACCGAAAGCGGGAAAAATATAAGAGCGGGATGTTCACGGGCCACAACAAACAACTTAAATACAAGAGACGGTAAAAATAATCAATTTTATCAAATAGTATATGTACGTATGAAACAAATTTTCAAAATTTTCTATTTTGTTTACAATAGAAAAGTCAAACAATCGTATTTGAAAATTGTTTCCCGAAAAATGTTCCATGAGCTTTTTTTCTCCGAATTGATCTAGCTTACTCTATTGTTTTGTTTTTATTTGCAGCTGCTTTGAGAGGTCTTGACATAACCTACAAAACAACGCTAAGCATGATTAGTTTGGATATTGCGTTCAACAGTTATAGACATGACAGTAAACATGGAGTTCACTAACGCCGAAATTCCCGCTATTATAAAGTCTTCCTTCGTTTAAGGCAAATCCGCTAGAGAAACGTTCCGTGAGATTAATGGTGTCTTGGGGGAATGGTTTCGACGATTCAGAGCCGGTGCAAACGACAGCATGGATAAGCCAGCCGGCGGAAGACCTGTGACGACAAATACCGATCAAATCATGGTTTACATCGAGTTAGACCGGCATTTGGCATCTCGTGACATGGCATCTCGTGAACCATCTGCAGAAGGCTGGATACAAAAAAATGTTTGATGTTTGGGTGCCGCATAATTTGACGCAAAAAAACCTTCTGGACCGAATCAACGCCTGCGATATGCTGCTGAAACGGAACGAACTCGACCCATTCTTGAAGCGGATGGTGACTGGCGACGAAAAATGGATCACATACGACAATATCAAGCAAAAACGGTCGTGGTCGAATTGCCGGTGAATCGTCCCAAACAGTGGCCAAGCCGGTTTGACGGCCAGGAAGGTTTTGCTGTGTGTTTGGTAGGATTGGAAGGGAATCATCCACTATGAGCTGCTCCCATATGGCCAGACGCTTAAATCTACCATCTGCTGCGAACAACTGGACCACTTGAAGCAGGCGATCGACCAGAAACGTCCAGAATTGGTCAACAGGAAGGGTGTAGTGTTCCACCAGGACAACGCCAGACCAAACATTTCGTTGATGACTCGTCAGAAGCTGCGGGAGCTCGGATGGGAGGTTTTATCGCATCCACCATATAGCCCGGACGTAGCGCCAAGTGATTACCACCTGTTCCTG